CTGCGATCTCCAGGAACGGCGGCACCATATGCTGTGGCATCGGCGCCTGGCCGGGCCCGCGATGCGCCATGGATGCTTCTCCACGGTGGCGGTGGCATGGAGACTCCGACGCCGAGCGCTGCATGCGGCGGCCAGGCGCGTCTCCCCTCGTAGGTAGAGGGTCCAGTGAAGGTTTGGCAGACTGAACACGGGCACGAGCTTGGCCATGGCTTACTCAGCTCCGGCCGTGATGTCAGGGGCAAGTCGACCAGACTTCTTCACAACCACGGGCACCGTCGTTACACCACTCATCATATTCTGTCGGCGTCGGGCTGCTGGCTCTGGGTGGCGTTCGCCTGCAGATCACGGAGTTCCGTGGCGAGCTTCGCCTCGGCTGCCTTTTCGTTTGGGACACCAGTCAGGGCGACGGCAAATGCAGTCTCGGCCTTCTCGACCTTGACCTTTGCGCGCGCCGATGCAGCCGCTGCGCGTGCAAGCGGGGGCGCGATCGGTTTCGACACCGTGATTGCACGTTTCTTCTCCGAAATCTCCTTGGTCAGAGAAGAGCGGGCGTCGGCGTAGAAGAGCTCGTCGGACAACGCCGTTAACGAGATCTACGAGGCATTGATCACGACAGGTGGGGCAATGCTCTCCTTCGCGATCATCGACGTGTCGATGTCTGAACGCTGTGGAACGACGTGAGGGCGTCATGAGGCCTTGTGTCATGGCGGCGCTGACTGCTCCTGGGGTTTTGGCTGCTTCTGCACCTGACCCCACGGCTTCTTGATTGTCACACATTGTACATTGTGCGTGCTTCGCCTGATTCTTCTTCTGCCGAACCCGCTGCCATCTGCCGCATTGGCACCACTAGAACTCAGCCTCGTAGGCGCTGCTGGCCCACGTTGGCGGCATGCCGTCGAACACGTGTGTGAGCGTAGGCATACGGTCTGGCTCAAGTTGCCATGCGAGCCAAAATGGGCACGGGTATACCTACAGACAGACAAGCAGACAGACAGGCAGACAGACAGGCAGACAGACCGACACACACACACGTATATATATATTTATATACATTTGTATACATATACATAGTCATAGCCATATTCATATACCTAAACATAAACATATGCATAAACATAAACATATACATATACACATGTATATATATATATATATATATATATATATATATATATATTCATATACTAGAACCGTCGCGCGCGCTTCGCGCGCGCTCAATTTCTAGCTAGGCTTGATCGGCTAACCCATGTAATACTATGTTGGTGGTTTCTTGTGTCCAGGGACTCCCTTGGAGGCCCTGCGCAAGCCTCGGACTCGCATAGAAGGGGAAGTGCGGAAACACAGAAATCACTGATTTCCTGTCAGTGTTCAACGGTTTGGGGCCCTCAAAGGCTTCCTGGGTTTTTCTAGGGGAGGTGAAGGGGGGTATGACTTGTGGTCTGTTGTGCAAGATTCGACCGGGGGCCAAACTTGGAGAGGAAAAAAAAAGAAAAGATTGTGGGAGTAATTTTTGTTCCTAGTTCCTCGGCGCTGTTCGTCGTTGTTTTTTGTTTGTGCCTCGCGGCTGTTGTTAGCCGGGCCCCTCAGGGGTGTGGGATCTTCCGGACCCCCTGGGGGTTCAGGAGGCCTCCTTGAGGCCTGGAGAGCAGTCGGAAGGGTGTCTCGGGCTGCGCGGGAGCGTGTTGGGCCGTTCTTTACGTTCTGGAGGCTCCTTGGGGTCGTCTTGGGCTGTCCTTGAGCGTCTTGGGGGCCCCCCGGGAAGCTGGGAGGCGCTGTACCGGCCAGATGTCAAGGGATGCGTGGGATCTCCGAGTAGGAGTCCCACTTTGAAACAAAAGGGATTCTGGGAATTCCTTTTTCCCCAAAAATCCTCGATCTTCGAGGGTTGGATGCGGGAAAACGTGAGAAGGTGAAAAGCATTAGACAAGCCATTGGGAATCAACGATTTTACCCTCTTTGGGCTCTCGCAGCTCTCTTGGGCTGTTCTTGGAGCCTCGTCGGGGTCTTGCCCTCAAGGATCGGGGGTGTGTTGGTGGCCTCTGGGTTGTCCCAGAGGCCTCTCGGATGTCTCTGGAAGCCTCCTGCTCCCGCTCTTAGGCCCATCTTGGGCCAGTTCTGGGGTGGTCTGAGGCTTTCCCTGGGCGCCTCTTCGGCAGTCTTGGAGCCTTCTTGGCCCGTCTTGGGGCCGTCCTGAGGGTCTGTTGGGTGGCCTTGGGGCGGTCTTGGGAGCCTCTTCGGCGCTCTTGCACCGTTGGAAGCTCGAAAACGCGAGAAGCCAAAAACATATGAAAACATGGAACAACTACGGTTTGGGCCTGTTCGGGCAGTCCCCGGACGCCTCTCGGACCTCTCTTGGGGTCTCTTGGAAGCCACCTGGGAGCCTCGAGAGCCGTCGGAAGGCTGACTTGGGCGCTTGGGAGCGTCTTGGGCCATCCTTTCGCATTCTGGGGGCTCCTGGGAGGCGTCTTGGGCCCTCCTGGAGCGCCGTGGAGGCTCACCAGGAAGGCCAGGGGAGCGGTACTGGTAGCGTCCCCGAGATGTCACGGGGAGGTGTGGGACCCTGGGCCGGTGATAGGGGGGCGGTACTTCTAGTTTTATGTCTATATATATTACACATATATTCGTTCATATATATGTATTACAGATATGTATATGTATATATATATATATATATATGTATGTATGAAAGGATGTATGTGTGTATGTATGTGTGTGTATGTATGTATGTATGTATGTATGTATGTATGTATGTATGTATGCATGCATGCATGCATGCATGTATGTATGTATGTATGTATGTATGTATGTATGTATGTATGTATGTTTGTATGTATGTGTGTATGTTTGTTTGTCTGTCTGTCTGTTTGTATGTATGTATGTATGTATGTACGTATGTATGTATATATATATATATATGTGTGTGTGTGTGTGTGTATCCGCAACCGTGCCCCTGTGGCACGAAGTGGAGTGTCTGGAGGCCACTTGCTCAAGCCGGGAGCCCCAGTCTTCAATCCTGAAGGTTCTCTCGCGGGATCAGGCCCGAAGTTCTCAAATCTCTGTCCAGGTCTCCAGCGGTTCCCTCGTTTCCCGCGGGCCCCGAGACGGGCCAGAAGACCCCATGGGGCCGCCCAGACGGCCCAAGGGCGCCCCGACTCGCTGCACAGTCGGTCCAGGACGCCGGATCGAGGCGATGCCCTGCGTTCTCTGCCGAATGAGCGTTCGGCCCCCTGCGCGGGGGCCCGCCTTCCGCTCCCCATCCGCTCTGTTGACGGTCCCCGGAAGCCCCCCTGGAAGCTGGAGGCCGAACCCCCTCACCAACCTGCCGTCGTGATCTTTCCGCGACTCGGGCAGGGGTGCTGAATCCTCTCTCCGTCCCTCCCTTCTCCACTTCGCGTGGGTGGTCAAGAGGGTGGAGATGCGCAGAGAGTGGGGGGGAGCGAGAGCGGCACTGGGGAGGGCGAGGAGAAGCGGGAGAGGGGAGGAGGAGAAAAAACACAGGATGCGTTAACGATGCTGCAATATGCTCTCCCGCCCAGAGTTCCCTCCCCGCACGTCCCTCCACGCCTCCCTTCTTATCTCAGGCGAAGCCTTCTTGAAAGACGAGCACTCTGCGTGCCCAATGCTCAGACGACGACTCCACTTTTTAAAAGAACTGCCTTGCGTCCTCCCAGCGGGAAGTACGGAACGCGAACACGTTGTGAAAAGGGAACGACCGCCATCCGTGCAGCTGCTACACAAGTTCATTGTTTGGGGTAAATTCGAGGTAATCTCCAGCGCGAATTACATTTTGAAAACTAGCCGTGCTCCATCCCTGAGAATGCTCAAGAACTTGTAGGACGGATGCGCGCGGAACCTGTGCAAAAGCCTACTTTTGAAGACGCCCTCTCCATGCTGGTGGCTGCTTCCAGCTTTGGCAACGAATGTGCACGGAGCTGATGCGGGAGCTCCATCTAAAAAACGGCAACCCATCCATCATCTAATTGTTGGAACTTGTAGTCGTCGAGAGATAAATCGACCAGAACTCTTCAACGATACATCCAGCCCAGCCTACAGATACATCCGGTGGTGCGAAAAGGACCAGCTTTTCTATAAGGAAAAGGGGTGGAGGAGGATGAGGCGGAGGAGGCTATCCCTCTCCGTGCTGTGTTGGAGCCCCTGGGCCCCATGACCGCTCGACGACTGCTCGCGCACTCTCCAGCTTTTTGGAACCTCACCGTGTAGCCAAGATGACCGAGCAACCAAGGGCACAGGCAACGAACACTGCAGTGGATCAGAGCTTTTCGAGGAGGCGGAGGAAGGGGGCCCAATGGGAAGGGGAGGAGGAGGAGAAGGAAAGGGAAGGGAGGCCGGAGAATGGGGGGAGCAAGGACCCTGACATCCTCTGGCCCGATTTTTTCAATGCGGCCCCAGAGCTTCTGGCCTCTTCCCCGAGGACAGCCTTTATCGTCCCGCTTCCGTGCGCGATGGTCCCGAGGCCCGAAGAACGGGCTCCACAGGCCGAAATCTGCGAGAGACCCTCGGACTTCACAGACTCAGATCTTTGGACGCCCGAAATGGGTACGGACAAAATGGGTACAATGCCCAACAGCAAATGTTGTCCCGAACCAACAGCGGCCGCTGTTGGGCAGGCAGCCTTCTGTCTCGAATGGACACAGGCCGCGGCGGCGTGGACAGCGAGTCCTGTTCAGAATGAACAGGCATTGCTGTTGGCCGCTGTGCCCATTATTTCCGTACCTACTTCGGGCGTCCAGAAGATCGTCGGAACCCTGGGAAAAGGGGGGATGGGCCCTGACCTTCCAGAGAGCTATTTGTTAGCACTGGAGGCCTGAAAACCTAAAAACTAAACGAAACAGCCTAAAACCAAGGCGTAGAATAGCTCTGGGATCGGTTTTTAAGTCGGGTGCCACTTTTTAGCCCTCCTGGAAGGTCAGGGGGGGGGTGACCGCCAAGGCCGACCGGGGCGACGCGAGGCTGGGCGAGACACGCGCCCCGAGGCCCACCAGCGACGTCGGCCGGCCGGGGCCCGCCACTCGCAGGCTCAGGCCGCGCGGGGGGCCCGGCGCCGCGCCCGCGGGGGCCTGCGCCGCAGGGCGGCGGGGGCACGGCCAGTCGCCGTCGTCGTCGTCGGCGTCGGCGTCCTCGGCGTCGCCGTCGTCGTCGCCGTCGTCGTCGGCGTCGGCGTCGGCGTCGGCGAAAGAATACACCAAAAATAATAAAAACAAATTCCAAAAACAGTCTGGGGGCTATTTTTTGACTATGTTTTGGCCTTGTTGGGGCATGTTTGGGGTATTTTTTGACGTTTCGTCGAAAATCCCCCCGTAGGGGGACATGCCCGACATAACACTAACGGGGACTCTGGCCAGTGACCTGGCGAACCCAACCCTTCCCGATGTGGGCAGCGCTGCAATGCCAGAAAGAGGCACCACCCACCGGTCGGAAGAAGTGGGCAGAAGCATGAGGTAGGAAGGCGCTGGAAGTAGAGTGGGTCTCCGCCCGCCCGCGGAAGAGGAAGGAAGAGAAGCAACCACTCGATCATTGAAGTCGGAAGGCGCTCAAGATAGAGTGGAATCTGGGACTCCCAAAATACCTACTTTCAACGACCGACGGGGAAAGTGGCAGCTTCTGGCAAATCTCCCCCCAAACCCGTCAGTGAATACCAATGATACGTGGCTGCTGGCGGGAGCTCTGGGCGCACTGGCCGGAGCCAAGCAGAGCTGGGCGGGCCGACTGGGGCCAGGCGGCTCCTGCTGATTGGTTGCTCAACCTCGCTCCAAAACGCCTCGGCCTCCTGGATCGATCCGTGTCGGTCCCCTTGTCAGAAACTTTGCGAAAGCGCCCGGGCTGCAAACATACAACACCCAGAACTCGAGGTCTGCTTGCCCTTGCCATGCGCCACCTCGGGATCACCCTAGTTTACCCGCTTCCAGGCCGACTTAGCCAGCGGCTTGCTCTGGCTTGCTCTGGCTTGCTCTTCTGGCTCCACCTGGCTCCTCGTCCCCACCCCTCCTCCTCTTCATCCGTGTGCTCACTGTATTACCCCACGCCTTGCTATCATCCTGCGTCTTCCTCCTCTCACCCCGCACTCCCCCTCCTCATCCTCCCTCCTGCAGTTTCCCCACTCCCCCGTGAGGCAGGGGCACCAGCCAGAGCCAAGCGGACCAGCCAGGGCGATACCACAGAAAGATGGGGTCCCGGGCTCTGCGTGTTGCTTTCTACGACGTTGCTCTTTTCGTCTGAGGACGCTTCCTGTACACGTCAGTCGGAAGAAGTAGGTAAAAACATTAAGTAGGAAGCCGGATTAAGTTGATTGGATCCAGGCCCCCCCAGGGAATAACAAAACACAGCAAAAGCGTGTCGAATCTTGAAGTAGGAAGGCGCTTGAAGTAGATTGGCATCTGGGAATCCGAAAATACCTACTTTCAGCGACCGGCGTGTAATTGTGACCTGGCTGCCGTGGTCCCTGGTGCGCTCTGCGATGCATGTCGCGTGCAAGAGCTGCAGAGGCGGGGGGGCTCACTGGCCTGCGCACGGCAGAACGGGTGCTGCGCCATCATGCAAGGTCGAGGCTGCGAACGCTGGGACCCGGGCATCGCGAGGCTCATCAGGGCTGACAGGGGGAACTTGGAAGGGCGCTGGAAGCCCCAACTGGGGAGACCCATGGGCAGGGCGGACGAAAAGCAGAGATGACCAAGGAATGGTTTGCGAATCGCAACACGTAGCTGATTCCGTGTCTCACCCCTTTCCCCATCCCACCCTTTCGTCCGCCCCGACCCTGGACACAAATAACCCCCATGGCACCCAGAGGCGCCCGGAAACGTCAAAGACCTCCTTGATACTCCTACCTGGTCCTCGATCTCCGACTCCATTGAGCAGGTGGTGGCCCCGATACGGCCATCGTGCAACCACAAGGGAAGCTGAACGCGGAACGAAGGAACGCCTCTGCCCACGGCGAACCTCAGCCTCGAGCCCGCCCCCGACCTGTCCAGGGAGGGGCCCGAAGATCGGACGGCCCTTCCCTCCCTCCCTCCCTCCCTCCCTCCTCCCGCCTCCCGCCTCCCTCCTCCCTCCTCCCTCCTCCCTCCTCCCTCCTCCTCCCCTCTCGAGCCCGCTGTGGCCTGCAGCTCCGCGTCCTGACTCCGCGGCCCCCCCTCGCCCGCCGAGGACGCGCCCCCCCCCCCCCCCCCCCCCCCCGTGGGGAAGCGCCTCCGCGGCGGGCTCCCCCGCGGCGTCCTCGGCCCCAGCCGCGCCACGCTCGCCCGCGGCCTTCGGCGTGGGCGGCCCCCCACTTGGGCCATCCCCCACCCCTCCTCCTCCTCCCTCCTCCCTCCTCCCTCCTCCCTCCTCCCTCCTCCCTCCTCCCTCCTCCCTCCTCCTCCTCCTCCTCCTCCTTCTCCTCCTCCTCCTCCTCCTCGCCCTCCCCTTCGGGGCGGAGCTCGAGGGAGCGAGGCCCGAGGATCGGGGCTCGACGAAGTACCAAACCGCGCCTCGGTGAGAGTGGGGGGGGCGAACGCGCCGGACCCTGGCACGAGCACGAGACCATGCCATCGAGTTCCTGGCCTGCTTCTCCTTGTACCCTCTGAAGGAAGGCGGCCACTCTCTGCTCACACTCACTGCTGGGCAACCTTGTCACCCGACACACGTTGGACCTCAGAAGGCGCCTGAGAACGTTGGCCCCAATGGCGACACGGGAACGGCCTTACCCAACAGCTCCCTCAGCCGAGGATTCGCCTCTGAGCCACGACGGACAACACTTAGCACCTCAAGCCCCGTCCCGTCCTGGTCGACTGCCCGCATTTTCGAACAACCCTAACGATCCTCCCTCGCGACCATCCTCCACATTCAAATCAGAGCAACAGTTGCTGCTTGACTTCGGCACTCCCCGAACCCCCCCACAGGCCCCGAAGACACACAACCAGGCATTCTGAGAGCCGGGCCCTTAACACCACAGCCTTAGGAACAGCGCGCAACGTAGCAATAGCAAGGGTTGTTCCTTGACACCCATCCCGTGGCCAGACTGCAGATTCACACAATCGAAAAATGAGCACACTGCGTTCCTAGCCCCGTCTGCCTCCAAGGGTGCCAGTTCTGCTTTAGCATGGATCTTCTCAGAGAGGGAGGACCTGGTCTCCACCTCGTCTCGTTCCGAAACAGGAGCAGAGCAGCACTGGCAATTTGACAAGCGCTCACAACTTCGCGCTTCGCGTTGCGCGAAGCGCGAAGTACGAAAAAAATCGCGCTCTCGCGCCGCCTCCCAAGGGAGAAGAGGAGGATGAGGAGGAATCGGAGCCGAACCGCGAAGCGCGAATAACCACGCGCCCTCGAGGGCGCCCTTGACTCGAACAACAACCCTTGCCCTGTTCTCGGCTGTGCCAATGGCTGTTCGCAATGTCGGGTCCGCAGTGGGATGCCCAGCCAGGGGCGAGTTGCGGTTGTCAACTACCTTACTGGCCTGACCGAAACGGTACTCATCACCCTGGAGCTGCTCTAGTTCCTCATCCGTCCGATGAACTCTAACAAGGGAAGCCTCTAAGAACTTAGCGCTCTCGAGATCGATGGCAAACCCTCGGGCTCCAGCGACCTTGGCCCGGCATTCGATCTGCCCATACACAGGCCTCCGAGCACACTGGGCAACTCCCAAACGATCGATCCCGCGCCTCGTGGCTCCGTCGGCAACCTGCCGTCAGAGGGCCGCCGCGCAGCGTCCGGCCACCGCTGGGCTCTGGATGAAGGGAACCTCAGAGCAGCGCCTCTCAACAAGACTAAAGACTGGCCCGACTGAGGCCGCAAGAGAGCTGAGAGGAGCAGGAGAGGAGCGCCCCTTGGCCGCCGTGGGGCCCTCTCGGGGCGTCTTGGAGCCCTCACGGAGGCCCGTTGGGCAGTTTGGGGGGCCTTCTTGGAGGCCTCTCGGGCCGCCTTGGAGCGTCGACCAGCCGAAGAGGCGAGGCAGCCAAACTCGCGCAACAAACATTGACAAATCAATGAGTGTTGGCGACCAGGGCGCGCACCGCAGAGACCTGAGCGCCTGCTTGGCGGCCGAGCCGCCCGCTGCCAGCTCGGCAACGGATAACAGAAGCTGGCGTTATGTCGGGCGTGTCCCCCTACAGGGGGATTTTCGACGAAGAATAGAGAATACCCCAAAAATACCCCAAAGAGGTGAAAAAGTACTCCAAAAATAGTCTCCAGACACTATTTTTTGACTATTCTTGGGGTATTTTTATCTTTCGTCGAACATCCCCCTGTAGGGGGACAGGCCCGACGTAAAGCTGGCGAGATCTCCTCGAGCCGGCGACCCGGGCCCCTACCCTGCCCGCCCAAGATATCACGCATCCTGACAAGGGAGATGTCGACCCCTATCCCAGGCTCCGTGGGGCTTCCGAAGGGGCCAGAGATTTGGGGCCCAACCCTGGGATATTAGGAAAACAAAAAAATGCATAAACATAAAAGCTCGGAAGGTCGCGCGGATTTCTCGGATCGGCGCTGGGGCCCCCCGGCGGCGCCTCCGGCGCCGCCCCTGGCGCGCTCCGAACGCAAGGGAGGGGAGTCCAGCACTGATCCGAGAAATCCGCGCGGACCTCAGAGTTTATGTTTATGCCACTTTTTGTTCCCCTAGATATACGATGGGGGGGGTCCATTCTCGATAGGTGTGCGGCCGAATAGCCCCCTCGGGGTGTATCCCAGGGTTTCCCCTTTTTTCTGAGCGGCCAAACTTTTTGCGGGCGAAGCTCGGGGATTGGGGGAGAAACATCGCCCGCGACATCCCGTGCCCATGGATGGGCTGAGAACCAGCGCGCCCTCATGCACAAAGAGACCCCAGACAAAAGGTTCGGACCACAACTCGGGACGACCTCCTGCGACACATCTCCGGGTGCATCTAGATCGCTGCGCGGTGCCAGCGGGTCTCGCCCAGTGCACGTCCAGATTCGTTGTGATGTCGGATGTCCCTCGGCCCACATTCGCAGAAGCCGATTGAGACGTACCACTTGTTACAAGCCCTAGCTTCAATCCAGATGGCAAGGCACGCGCAACACTTCAATGTCAACTGCTGCTGCCTGCTCAATTGTCTTGCCGTTGTTTTCTGCA